CAGCCACCCTGGTTTGCTCTATGGGATTCCTTTGATATTCCTGTAAGATTTCTATGATATTGCTCTACCTTTTACCCTGTTTCTGCCCTACCCCTGTAATCAATAAAGTTCTCCTTTGTGACCGGTGTGGAGACTTATTGAGGGGTGGGACTAAATTATGCCAAGGAGGCCCCTGAGGTCTGTGGACTAAGGGAGGCTTCCTAATAAGCCCCTGACTTGGGGAAGTGCCCCAAGTGCTTATACTGGGTCTAGCACCCATTGGACGATCAGGCCTGTGTTTTCCAAGGTGCACAGAGCCAGAAGTGAGTCCAGAGCCTTGGATGGTGGCAGCGGGACCCCCAGGCTAGCGGGTGTGCTCCAGGGAAGGGGCCGGCCGGACGGGAGGCACCCCAGGGAGGCACTCGGAGCCTGGAAGGTGGTCGGGCGCAGGGAGGTGGGCGGCTCAACGCAGGAGCGCCCCCTACTGGCCCGCCACAGCGTGCATCGAGAGTTTCCACACAGACGAGGTGCAGAGTAGGTACTGCACAGTAAAGTCACACCTTGGCTCACTGCACATTAGCTTTCCTGTCTCATGGCCAGTTCTGTGCCAGGGAGAGAGGACGCAGACATACAGAGAGATGGGAACTTCAGCATAGTTTGGACAGGACCGGCGGCTAGCCCTGGGAGAAGCCTGGAGAGGGGTGTTGGGGTCTGGGCACTGGCTGAAGGAACATCAGGGCTCTGCATAAGAAAACTGCCCCTTGTGTTTGATTTCCCCAGTGTCCAAAACCTCAAGGTTTTGTGCAGTTTTGTGAATGAACCAAGTCTCACCAGACAGCACCTTCTTCATCGGTCTCTGCCCTTTACTGGATAATGTATGGGATCCCCAGTTGGATCCAAAGGACTAAAAACGTATATTATAAAGCAGGCAGCGCTTAATCCCAGATCTGGGGGAAACCCCCAAATTGCAACTCATTCTGCTTTAATTTAACTTTTAAGTCAGTCCATTTAAATAACAATTATCTCTAGATCGCCGTCTTCCCTTGAAGATAGGACAGAGATTCTCAAACTGTGGGACACGCCACAGGCAGAGTACAAAATGAAATTTCCTTCACTTCACTTCCCAGAAGTATTTGAGAGGGGATTATCAGCTAGCTGGGTTGGGGCTGTACGTTAATATTAAAGTAGCTGGTGCAGGTGCTGCTTTTGTCGCTAGATGGCAATGGCAGACAAGGCTCTTTGGGTAGATGTGCTGCCTTTTATTAAAGAAATGCAAAACTAGCCCCGCTGTTCGCCTCCCCATCTGGGAGACCCTGGCTCTGGCCGGCTGCAGCTTCCAACTCTCCAGCATCTTGCTCGCTGCTTTTCTGCAGGGTTATGTTTGGGGCAGTGAATGTCCTGCTTGTTCAGAGCAGCCCCAGTGATGAGAGGTTGTCGTGATCTAACAGGTCTTTGCTTCCCAGGGAGACGGGATCGGCAGCAGCCCCAGGCCACAGAAGATGCACACAAGGTAAGAGCACAGCGGGAAAGCTTGTTCCTGCCATCTCCGGGCCTCCCTGCTCAGGGGTCTGCCGGCCTTTGTGGCTCTGTCCGCTATTGCCCCGAGCAGCCTCTGTATTGCCAGGCCTCACCATAAGTGTAAATCTTTCAATTTACAGTACTGAAATGCAGGGCTCGAGGGACTGCCCTGAGGCAGGAGGTGTGCGCCTTGGCCGGAGGCTACCAGTGATGTGCTGAGCTCCTGCATAGGGACGGGGGTCAGTGCAATCATGAGTGTCGTGGAAAAGGGGGTGAACGGTGAGGTGTGGAAAAGACACCTGTGACACCGTCTGTTGAGACTGGGAAAGGATTTGCAGACCCACCTGACCAAAGCAGGGCAGTGAGCACCATGCGGGGGTGAAATCACGTGTTGGCCCACACACAGCGACACACCGGGGGAGACAGTGTGTGAACTAGTCAGATGCACCGAGGGGTTCGAAGTGACACGTAACCATCCTGGAGAAGAGCCTCAGACTCCTCGTGAAAGGATCCGTGCAAATCTCTGCTCACCGGTGAAATGGCAAACAAGACTGGGGTCGTCTGACCCCAGCGGTCTTTCCTGCCTGGGGCAGGGGGTTGGCCTCGATCTGCTGAGGTCCCTTCTGACCCTAATATCTATGGAGATGTTAGAAGGGAGAAACGATGGAGTTTTGCTCAGAGGTTGAACAATGGGTTTGTCTGGGATGGTTTGGCTGGGGTTGGACTGGATGTGACCTCTGGAGCGTCCTGCCAGCCCCACTTCTCCATGACTCTACAGTATGCAAGGAAGGGAATAGAAAATACCACAAATCGTATCTTGCTCTTGTATAAGTACTGTCATTTGGGCGGTTCGGGATCCTATTCAGCTGGATCTTTGGAGTGAATTACTGCAGCCAAGAGTTTTTCCTTGCTCCATTTTTGTGGACCCATGTTCACAAACATTATTCCCCGCTCAAGTGAAAGTGCCCTTTTCTTCCACGTGCCCAGAGCTGTGAACCCTTTGTTCTCTCTGTTACAGAGCAAGCCGCCGGGTCCGAGCTCAGCCAGGAGCCGGGGGTGAGTATGGACTTGGCCAAGGGGAGTCAATGCCTTGGCTCCCCCACAGAGATGGGGCCTCGGTGACTGGTGGCAAAAATATCTGAGCCCAGTGGAGCTGGCTGGTGAGAGCCAGTCCCCAGTGCTGCTGCTGGAGGGGGAAAGACCCATATTCCTTTACAGAGATTAAGCAACCACGGGCAGCCTGGTTTCGTAATGGGCCTTTCGGCAAAGGAAATGGGCTTTCTTCGCCCCTAGTCCCCAGAGAGAAGAGAAGAGCCCATTGGCTCGGCGCTGGTCACGCTGGCTCCCAGAACCCACGGTGTTTGGGTGCTTTTCACCTGCATTTTCCTGTAGTTGGTCGTTGATCAGTGATGACGGGCTCCAGCGTTTGCTCAGCCTGTTTCACGGAGTTACAGTCGGGTCCTTACAGCTCAGGTCTTTAAGGAAGGAAAAGCTTGGTCCTGCTGTTATGCCTGCTCTGCCTGGGGACGGTGACCATGCATCTCTTTTGCAGGTCTATCCTGACATTGCCTACGCAGACCTCTACTTCGGTAGCCAAAGGACACAGACAAGACGACCCCCAGCAGCTCACGAACGTGCAGAATACGGCACCGTTTCCACCCGCTGAGTCCTGCCGGGGAAGGACACCAGCATGCCGGGGGCACCTGACTGGGAGACCCAGCACACTGCCTGGGCTCCCCTGCTTCTCGCAAACCTGCAGCCCCCCCATTTCTGACCCCGGGGTCTCCAGGTCGCACTGTTGGGAGGCAGGTTTCTCACTGGGGCCTTGCCTCAATTACCAAGGTAGCCCCCTCCCGGCGCTGTCAGACGGGAGTGCTGTAGTGTAGATGAGGCTCCGTGACTTCCAGCGTTGTCAGATGCATCGATCAAATCCATACCTGCCCTCCGTAGGCTCCTGCAGGCGCTGAGGTTCAGTGGTACCCGCTGCTTAGTGAGTGTTTTCCTCCGTGATGCTGCTGAGAGTACACGGGTCTGCTATCATTTCACCCGCGGAAACTCAGCTTGTAGCCTTGGGAGTCCCTTTCCCATCCGCAACAGGTGCTGAGATGCCCCGTCACATCAGCACCTCTGCCCTGGGGCTACTTCTATTTTGGACATCTACTTATGGAGGAAGCAACATCGACATTTGAAGACATTGGTCATTAGGAGTACCAGCTCTTGCCTTTCCTCTTGAACAGAGCCCCAAGAAACAGCCTGGAAGCTCTTCTTAGACCACCTTGGAAAGGCCACGGAGAAAATGGGTCAAGTTTTTAATAAAAGAGGGCTTCTTTCCCAGCTGCTTGTTGGCCGCTGCAGTGAAATGAGTACTGACACAGCAAATGAGATGCTTTTGGGCAGGGGGAAAACCCCTGGCACGGTCCCAGGAGGGCATGGGTAGCCTCTGTGTGTGATGCAGCAGATTGGAGGGCTGGGAGCAAGCGGTGCAGTGGCAGCTAGGGCAGGGAGCAGAAAGCAGAGCAGCGGATCAGGAAAGGAGCAGAGAGAAGAAGGCAGAGCAGCAGATCAGAATAATGATGGGGTAAAATTAACACACTGACGTGCAGGGAACGAATCCAGGCAGATCTGGACAGGTTAGAAAAGTGGGCAGACCAGAATAGGATGCAGTTCGACAAGGACAAGTGCAAGGTGCTGCCCCGAGGACGAAGGGATCACCAACACACGTCCAGGCTGGGGGACGAGCTGCTCAGCAGCACGGAAGCGGAAAGGGATCTCGGAGTCACTGTTGACCCCAAGATGAACGTGAGTCGTCAGTGTGACGAAGCGATCAGTAAAGTTAACCGCACTTTATCCTGCATTAGCAGGTCCAAGGAGGGGATACTTCCCCTCTATGCGGCATTGGTCAGGCCGCACTTGGAGTACGCAGTTTTGGGCACCGCACTTCAGGAGGGATGTGGACAACCTCAAGAGGGTCCAGAGGCCTCTCATATGGTTAGGGGCCTGCGGGCAAAGCCCTATGAGGACAGACCGAGGGACCTGGATCTCTTCAGCCTTCGTGAGAGAAGGCTGAGAGGTGATCGGGGGCAGCAAGGGCTCGGAGATGCTCTGTTCACCAGGGCACCCCTTGGGCTAACTAGGAACAACGGCCACAAACTGACGGAGAGCAGATTTAGGTTAGACATCAGGAAGAACTTCTTTATGGCAGTGGTTGCCAGAGTCTGGAACGGGCTCCAAGGGAGGGGGTGCTCTCCCCTACCCAAGGGGTCTTCAAGAGGACCCTGGCTGGGGTCATCTCACCCCAACGCTCTTTCTTGCCCAGGGCAGGGGGTCGGACTCGATGATCTGCAGAGGTCCCTTCCGACCCTACATCTACAAGTCTGTGAATCAGGCCGGGCGAGGGGATCGGAGTGGCACTCGGGGAGGGTGCGGGGCAATTTGTAGCAGGCCTGCCACAAAGGCTGCTCTCGAGAGTCTGAAGAGACATCCGCTCCTTTCAAGGTTCCTCGGTTTTACTTCCTCCACATCTGTGACTAAGCGACCTTTTTCTGCTGAAGCTTTTACCGTGAAAAATCTAAACGAGTCCAGAGTTTGCATTTTGACATGGCTTTAAATGAAAAGACATGGGCTTTCCTCACCAAAGTGGCTTTGCATTTTGAAAATTCCTTTAAAGGTATTAACTCAAAAAGTAAAAGTAAGCTTGGAATCAAAATACTGGTATTTCAAACATACAAACAAGTGAGCCATGTCATCTGATCTGAAACCATTTTCTTTTCACTTTTTGACTCGACAGCTCAACCCACAATAAAGGTCTTTTGAAAAACAAAGAGCAGAAAGCACTTCCCTTTCTAATGAAAGCACCCATTTCTCAGCCCTCTGTTGTAAACTATCAAGGCCGAGCACTGTCAAGGAAAAATTCTGTTTTTTCTGGGAAAATCAGCTTATCTGCAGCTCATTTAAAATCCAACAACTGTTAGATCGTAGCTAGCAGAGCAAGAATATCATTATCAGTTGCGAAACCACGTTTCATGTGGTTTTGAAAGTAAAGTCTTTCTTACTCAGAATTGCTATGTAATACAGGACTGGTTCAGGACGCCGGCTTCCCCCCGCGCACTGCTTTGCTGTGATTGAGATGCACCTGGATCTGTCTGCTCTCCGAATGCAGCTGGGGGGCTGTACAGGCTCGCTCCCAGCTTCCTGCTGCATGGGGAATCCTAGAAAATGAGGGTGTGAAGAGATCTCGGGAGGTCACATCTAGTCCAACCCCTGCTCTAAGCAGGACCAGCCCCGACTACATCATCCCAGCCAAGGCTTTGTCTACCCGGGTCTTAAACACCTCCAAGGGCGGAGATCCCACAACCTCTCTAGGTAACTTGTTCCAGTGCTTCACCACCCTCCTTGTGAGAAAGGTCTTCCTAATATCCAACCTCACCTTCCCTTGCTGCAGCTTGAGCCCATTGCTCCTTGTCCTGTCATCTGCCCCCACTGAGACCAGCCCAGCTCCATCCTCTTTGCAGCCCCCCTGCAGGGAGCTGAAGGCTGCTATTAAAAGTTGGAAGCTGCTGTTAAAAGAACGACTGCGGGAATGGCTGAGGGGTGTGGGATGCCTGGCTTGCCTCCATCCCTTCGGGCCCTCAAGAAGTCCTGGGGCCCAGGCTGCTTCCCCCAGGAGCGATCAGCTCTTTGCTCAGTTTTCCTTCTGCAGCTCAACAGATATAGGGGGACGGCGTCACCGCTTGTACGTACCCTGGGTGCCAGGGGCTTGGAGGAGGCAGGCCAGCCTGGGCCAAGGGCTCAGCAGCCTCCCTGCGCTCAGCCTCAGCCGAGGAATTGCCCCAGTTTAGCAACAGTGAAGCCTGGTTGGGCTGCTGGGCGCTGCTTCTCCATCCGGCACCAGCTGGGTCCTGGGTTTGCAGCAGCCCCCAGTGCGGACCCTGTTCTGCGGGGACAGGCCCCTGCTTCCTGCACTCTGGGTTTCCTGGTCCCTGACCCTGGTTTTGGCTGCGTCTGGATGTCAGCGTTGGGTTTCCTGTGGCTCTTTCCCAGCTCCTGATGCCAGCTGGGCTGTGCCCCTGGGCTTCGCCCTGTGCATTAGCCCTCGACTGGTACTCGGTCTCTGATCCCCCGTTCCTGCCCCTGGACTGTGCTGCAGGCTCTGCCCCGAATTGATTTCCCTCCGGATTTGGTATCGGCCGTGATGTTGTGCAGCTCACTGGGGGCCTAGCTCCCAGGGGCCGTGGGCAGCTGGGGTAGAAGCAGTCTGTGCCCCAAGGCTGGAGTCTGATGGAGCCAAGCTGGGATGGGGGAGCTGCCGTGTCTCCAGCATGTGGTCCAGGGGCCACCCGGGTCCCTCACTGACACCCGTGTCCTTCACTGGCTGAACTGCTGGGGGAGACCTGTGCTGAGCTCTGGGGTGTGAGGGGTGGGGGTGGTCTGTGGGTCTTTTTTTTGCAGAGCCAAGTAGGTGCTGTTTGGAAAGTCCTGCCAAACCCCGTGGTGAGTGCCCCGCCAGCGACAAGGCCCAGCACGTCAATGCAATGCATGGGAACCAGCCCCACAGCACCCATGGGCATGGGGACCAAGGGGGACTTTTAAAGCAAGTGTAACTGGCACTGTATTCCCACTGAAAGTCCCTGGGACTTTGGCCCCAAGGGTCACGTGTGCCTTGGACACCCTGCATAGGTCTTTGTCCTTCAGCTTCAAACCCAAGGGGAGCTTTGAGCTGACGGACGTGCCACGAGCAGCTCTCTGCTCTGGGCCTGCGAGTCCAAGCCAGCACAAGCTGCTGCTTCGGCTGTTCAGAGCTGGCTGCACGTGCCCAGAGCACCACTCCCTGTCCCAGGGAGTCCCTGCCCTGGGGCCTGGGAACGTAGCCTGGCTTTTCATTATGCATCATCCTCTTAATAAAGATGAGGGCACTGACACGCAGCCGACAGCTCTATCCCTGCACCGGAGCCGGGGGCGAATCCAGCGCTCTCTTTGCTGCGTTAACTCTGCAGCGTTCGGGGCTAAGAGCTGATTTAATGGAGGTGGGCTGCAGCGAGGGCAGCCACGGCTCTTACCTGCTTTTCTGAACAAGGAGCATTGCATTGCTCTGGGCTTGGAGAGCCGGGGCATCTGCTCCAACCCCTTGCTGGGTCACTCGCGTTTCCCGGCTGCTCCTGCTCCCTCTTGACTCGTTTCTCTGGCCTCGCGGCCCCTTCTCACTGGCCCAGCAACCCCTCCCCTTGGAGGCTGCCTGTGTGGACAGGAGCAGGCAGAGCCTGGACAGGGCCCGTCAGGGATACCCACGCACACAGGAACATGGGCCCAGCAAGGAGGGCTGTCAAGTTCAGTCCCCCGTGCTCACAGGCAGTCGCTAGCCCGAAGACCCCTCATCCCCACTCAGTCCCTCCCCACAACTACAAAGCAGAATATCCCAAGAAAAGCCCACCCTTGGCAGTCTGCACAAGCCAGGCAGACGAGGGCACTGCCAGTGCCCAGCTGTTGCAGGGACAGGGGGTTGGTTAGATGCCCAGAGGATCCTAGGAAAAGGACCCTGCCCCACAGAGAAAAGTCCCCCCCTCCCCAACATTTCATTTTGCTGTATTAGGCTTCTAATGCAGGCGGATGATTTTCTCCAAACCCCACGGCTTTCAAACTGCCCGCGACAGAGGCCTGACTCCTCGTGTTTGAGCGCTGGAGCAGCGCTGCTGAGCTGAGCCAGACCCCGGGGACTGACTTGCCGCCGCTCCCTCTGGGCTGTCTCCAGTCCCTCGCTGCCTCTCCACCCCCGGGGTGGCTGATACAGCAAACACCGAAATTACCTGCAAGAAAGGAGTAGATGCAACTTAGCTGCGTAGA